AGATATGGCCAAAGCTTTGGAAGAACTCAAAATGTTCAATTCTTGGAATTTTCTCTGCAATCATATTTCAGGGGGCATAACTTTGAAAATGACAAAGCTAACTTAAAAATGTTACATGATTTTGAAAGAGGAATATTCAGCCTTTAGAAGGATATATGTAATGTCAATATATCTGCGGAAATAATAGAGATATCGCCACACTTTCACAAGAACACAAAATTTACAATTTGTATCTTTTTCTTTGCAACGACAGTTTTTGGTGCATAACTTTTCATGTCAGCGAACGAGTTGAGAGAAATGACATGATTATGAAAGATGAGAGCTCTCTCCTTAAAATCGCTATAAGCATTGACAATATGACCCTTCAAATATAAGATATATCGCCACATTTTCATAAGAACTCAAAATTGGGAATTTTTGTATTTTTCTTTGCAACGACCGTTTTTGGTCCATAACTTTTGATATCAGCGAACAAATTGAAATATGTTACATATTTTTGAAAGGAAATAAGCCCCCCTTTTAAAATTATATGAGGAATGACAATGTACTCCTTCAAATACCAGAGATATCGGCCGATTTTCATAAGAACTCAAAATTTACAATTTTTGCCTTTTTCTTTGCAACGACCGTTTTTGGTCCATAACTTTTGATATCAGCGATCAAATTGAAATAAGTTACATGATTTTGAAAGAATGTAAGTCCCCCTCTCAAGACGATGTAAATTATGACAATGTGGCCATTCAAATACCAGAGATATCGGCCGATTTTCATAAGAACTCAAAATTGGGAATTTTTGTCTTTTTCTTTGCAACGACCGTTTTTGGTCCATAACTTTTGATATCAGCAAACAAATTGAAATATCTTACATATTTTTGAAAGAAAATAAGCCCCTCTTTCAAGACGATATAAATAATGACAATGTGGCCGTTCAAATATCAGAGATATCGGCGCATTTTCACAAGAACTCTAAACAATGACAATTTAAAAAAGTTGGTATATTTTAGGTAATCGTATTTATGTGGCCATAACTTTATAATCCCTTGGTAAATTTCGAAAAATAGACATTATCTGAGAAGGAAAAGATCTCGCCTTCAATTCTGGTATAAAATATACGCATGTAGTTGCTCAAACACCAAAGATATCTCCTATTAATCGCGGGAAATATAAATGATCAACATTCGAAAAATTGTTTGTATTCATATTTCAGGAAGCACAACATTGGTTGTTATTGGGTTATATCCATGGAAATGGATGTATTTAAAAGAGAAACATTGATTCCTTTAAAATGGTAAACAGTAATACTAATGTAGCTGAATAAATTGTAGAAAAAACGCCAAAATTAACACAAATCGCAAAATTTGCAAAAATGCACAGATTTCTTTTTATTATGTTCTGGAGTTCGTAACACCCAATAGAACCGTTGGATTTTTAAGAAGTTGATAGATTTTGAAAGGGGAAAGACTCCTTAATGAAATATTTGAAATAATTTACAGTAACATCAATGTAGCCAATTAAAAGCGTCAAAATAACAAAATAACGCAAAATTGTAATAGTTTTGCATTATTTTGGGTGAAGGTCTCTCAGAGACCATAACTTAAAAATTTGATGATGAATTTTAAAGGGAGGACATTATCTGGTGGGAGAAACATCTGGCCTTTAAATCTAGTATCAAATATGTGAATGTAGATGCTTAAATTCCCACGATATCGTCAAATCTCTTCAGCAACTCTTAGTGTATAATATTTCGAATTTGGTTTGTGTTCATATTTCAGGAGTCATAACTTTTGACATATATAAGAGATCATGTAGGAGATGCATGATTTCTAAAGAGGAAGGTCGGTTCTTCAAAAACTGAAAACAGTGATGCCAAAACAGCTAACAAAATACCAGAAAAACCGCCAAAATAGCCAAAAACGCAAAAATTTCAAAAATTACCAGTTTCTTTTCAATCATGTTCCGAAGTTCGTAATACCCGATATAATCGTTGGATTTTAAGGATGTTGAATGATTCTGAAAGGGGAAGGACTTCTTTAAGATATATTTTAAAATGTAAGGGGTAATATCAAAGTAGCTGATTAAAAGCATCAAAATAACCAGATAACGCAAAATTGCCAATATATAGTATTTTTTAGGGAAACGTCTCTCAAAGGCCATAACTTTGAGATTTAATAATGAATTTTAAAGAAAAGATATTATCTGATACGGGCAAGACCTGGTCTTCAAATCTGGTATAAAATATGATAGGGAGGCTGCTTAAGTACCCAAGATATCGCCAACTTTTTTCAGGAACTCTCATTTTTCCATATTTCGAATTGGGTTTGCGTTTTTATTTCAGGAGCCATAACTTTGAAGATAATTAGGTTATCTTCGAGGAATTGCTTGACATAAATTAAGGAAGGTCGGTTCTTCAAAAATCGAGAACAGTAATGCGAAAGTAGCGTTTTTAATACCAAAAATCGCCAAATTAAAACAAAAGCGCTAAATTTAAAAAATAAATGTTATTTATTACCTATCATGTTCCTGACTTCGTGCAGCCCAATATAATGGTTGGATATGAAAGAAGGCGAATGATTTTGAAAGCGGAAACCCTTTTTAACGAGATATGTAAGTATTGCCCCGCAAAATTCTTGTTCTGTTCGTTTCTCACTTCTTTAAGTGATAATGAAAGAAAAAAATTGTGCGGGTTCCCGCATATTTTTTGTAATGTTTTTATCGTTTCTTCTTCTTTATTTTCTTTTGTGTTTTTTTTTTTTTTTTTTGTAATATTTCGTTTTGTAATTGCTATCAGGTAATATGCTCTACATGTCACCTACCTGGCTAATTGTGTGCGGAAGCCATTTAAGTGTTGACCGTTTGGGGCTAATTTGACGATAGCAAAGTTGAATAACACCATAATGGGACAGAACATGGGGTATTCAATGATAAAAACAAATTTAATGGTAATGAAGGAACATTTTTGGCAGGAAAAAATTCTCACGCTTGAAATTGCGGATTTTGAAAAAAATATTTGAATTTTTATGCGGAACTATGTAGTTCTCTAATTAATTTTTGTAGACAGTTTTGAGATTAAAAATTGGGATTTTTTTATATAATTTAAATAAATAAAATCCGAATTTTTGTTTTTAAAAATGCATGCATGCATTTTATAAAAATATTTTTGGGAGACATCAATAAACGTGGATTTTATAAAAATATTTTTTTGGGAGACATCTATGAACGTGGATTTTATAAAAATATTTTTTGGGAGACATCTATAGACGTGGATTTTTTAAAAATATTTTTTTGGGAGTCATCTATAAACGTGGATTTTTTAAAAATATTTTTTTGGGAGACATCCATAAACGTGGATTTTATAAAAATATTTTTTGGGAGACATCTATGAACGTGGATTTTATAAAAATATTTTTGGGAGACATCCATAAACGTGGATTATATAAAAAAAATTTTTTGGGAGACATCCATAAACGTGGATTTTATAAAAATATTTTTTGGGAGACATCTATAGACGTGGATTTTTTAAAAATATGTTTTTGGGAGTCATCTATAAACGTGGATTTTATAAAAAAAATTTTTTGGGAGTCATCTATAAACGTGGATTTTATAAAAATATTTTTTGGGAGACATCTATGAACGTGGATTTTATAAAAATATTTTTTGGGAGACATCTATAAACGTGGATTTTATAAAAATATTTTTTTGGGAGACATCTATAAACGTGGATTTTATAAAAGTATTTTTTGGGAGACATCCATAAACGTGGATTTTATAAAAATATTTTTTTGGGAGTCATCTATTAACGTGGATTTTACAAAATATTTTTTTGGGAGTCACCTATAAACGTGAATTTTATAAAAATATTTTTTGGGAGTCATCTATACACGTGGATTTTATAAAAATATTTTTTTGGGAGATATCTATAAACGTGGATTTTTTAAAAATATTTTTTTTGGGAGTCATCTATAAACGTGGATTTTATAAAAATATTTTATTGGGAGACATCTATGAACGTGGATTTTTTAAAAATATTTTTTTTTTGGGAGTCATCTATAAACGTGGATTTTATAAAAATATTTTTTTGGGAGACATCTATGAACGTGGATTTTTTAAAAATATTTTTTTGGGAGTCATCTATAAACGTGGATTTTATTAAAATATTTTTTTGGGAGACATCTATGAACGTGGATTTTTTAAAAATATTTTTTTGGGAGTCATCTATAAACGTGGATTTTTTAAAAATATTTTTTTGGGAGTCATCTATAAACGTGGATTTTATAAAAATATTTTATTGGGAGACATCTATGAACGTGGATTTTTTAAAAATATTTTTTTTTGGGAGTCATCTATAAACGTGGATTTTATAAAAATATTTTTTTGGGAGACATCTATAGACGTGGATTTTATAAAAATATTTTTTTGGGAGACATCTATAAACGTGGATTTTATTAAAATATTTTTGGAATTTGAATTATTTTTTTTTTTATTTTTTTTTAAGTCTGACTAAAAATATTTTTTTGGGAGACATCTATAAACGTGGATTTTATAAAAATATTTTTTTGGGAGACATCTATGAGCGTGGATTTTACAAAAATATTTTTTTGGGAGACATCTATTAACGTGGATTTTATAAAAATATTTTTTGGAAGACATCTATAAACGTGGATTTTATAAAAGTATTTTTTGGGAGACATCCATAAACGTGGATTTTATAAAAATATTTTTTTGGGAGTCATCTATTAACGTGGATTTTACAAAATATTTTTTTGGGAGTCACCTATAAACGTGAATTTTATAAAAATATTTTTTGGGAGTCATCTATACACGTGGATTTTATAAAAATATTTTTTTGGGAGATATCTATAAACGTGGATTTTTTAAAAATATTTTTTTTGGGAGTCATCTACAAACGTGGATTTTATAAAATATTTTTGGAATTTGAATTATTTTTTTTTTTTTTTGAGTCTGACTAAATTTTCCATTCCTCCTCTCTTCTCTCCTTCCAGAATCAAGGAATAAAACTTTGCCGTTTACATCGTAAAGATTTAAATATTAAAAGTAAGTTGGAAAAATTCGGAAATTATTCCAATTTCTGGTAACAAAAACAATAACACAATTTTAAGTGTTCTTCTGAATCATCCTCATCATCGTCAAGAGGATGATTCGAAGAAGACCTAAGCTAAAGAAAAAACAAGCCGCACAACGTCAACACATTGCCACAATCTTTGTTGATTTTGTGGCTTGTTTATGGCCGATACTTATCAGCTGGGTTCTGCCTACCTTACCCGACCCTACCCTACCCTGTCTTGCCTCAAAATTGTGTTTAGTTGGCCATAAACTGCCACCATTATTGACTCTCTCATAATGATGAGCTGCGGCTGCATTTTGACTTTAATTATTTGTTCCAAAGATCCGACAATGTTGTTGACTTTTAATCACATGTTTGGGAATCGTTTCTTTCTTGCTTTTTCTCCTCCTCCCAGTCATTTAGTTTATGGCAGATCTTTGTGAAGACGTTGTTATGACATTCCGTCTTTTTTGTTTCTTCGACTTACTCACAACTTTCTTTGGTAAATGACATTTTTAAGAATCAGAAAGTACCGACACATTACAGCGAGAGTACCATATTTTCTTGATTAGTTTCTGAGCCCCCCTACCTCCGATGATCAATTTCTTCTTCAACTTCATTTGCGGTGCGACATAAACTTTCTAAATAAATATTTATAAAAAAAAAACATCCACAACATACAATGCAATTGCATTAAAGAGACCAGATACCACCGCCAGATACATGGATGAGAGATTTAGAAGAATCTCAGAGTAGAAGAAGAATAATAAAACAATAAACAATTGAACCAACGAACAAACAACAGCGGCGGCATAATGAATAAATGCATTTCAAATATGAGAAAACATTTTTTGTTTTCTTTTGAAAAAAATCGGTGAAAATTCAGACACGAGAAAATTCAATGACATGTTTTTTTGTTTCGGACGGGGGGACAGGGTAAACATAGAAAGCAGGATGTTGGTAAGAAAATTCCATCAAAGTTAGTTTTTTAAAAAAATCATAAAGAGATGTTCAGCCAATCAACTTCAAACTCCCAGTTCCCCGGTAATCATATTCAGGAGGGCATAACATACAAAGAAATATGTGGATCTTTACAAAATAAGCTGCTTAATAGAAGCGGAACACCTACTCTTTAATACGGCAAAATTTTAAAAATGCAGCTCAACAAATACCGGAGTTATAGAAACATTAACACAATACTCAAAATATTGGAAAATCTGATATTTTTCAGTCATCAGATTCTTGGAGCCATAACTTTAAAAATAATTAAAAATTCTAAAGAAATTATCCACTCTTCTAGGAGAGGGATGTCTGCCCTTTCAAAAAACACAAGCATTGTGAATATAACGCCTTAAACACCAGAATTATAGGCCATTTTGTACAACGACGTAAAGTTTTTAAAAATTTGAAAATTTTGCGCACATGCTTTCCTGTTGCCATAACTTTTAATTTTCGAAATGGACTTGATTAAGATAGATAGGATTTTGAAAGTACACTTTCTACCCTTTTAAAATATACAAGCATTGTCAATATCGCTCATGAACTATCAGAGTTATAGGTCATTTTGTAGAACAACGGAATATTTTTAAGAAATTGGAAAATCTCGCGCACATGCTTTCCTATTGCCATAACTTTTTAATTTTAAAAGGGAATTGATTAAGACAGATAAGATTTTGAAAAAGCACTATCTGCCCTTTTAAAATATATAAGCATTTTTAACATAACTCATTAAATACTAGAGTTATATGCCATTTTGGTCAAAGACGTAATTTTTCAAAATTTCTAAAATTTTGTGCGCAAAATTCTTGTTGCCATAACTTGTAAACTCCAAGAAGGACTTGATTAACACAAAGAGGATTTTGAAAGTGGATTATTTGCCCTTTTAAAATATATAAGCATTGTTAACGTCACTCTTCAAATACCAGAGATATGGACCATTTTGTACAACGACGCAAATTTTGTAAAATTTCCAAAATTTAGCGCACAGACCTTCTTGTTGCCATAACTTATAAACTCCAAAAGGGACTTGATTAACACAATTAGGATTTTGAATGTGGAATACCTACCCTTTTAAAATATACAAATATTTTTAACATCACTCATAAAATACCAGAGTTATAGGCCATTTTGTTCAACGACGCAAAGTTTTCCAACTTCCATAAATTTTGCGCATAGACATTTTAGTTGCCATAGCTTTTAAATTACAAGAGGGACTTGATTAGGACATACAGGATGTTGAAAGTGAAATATATGTCCTTTTAAAATATATAAGCATTGTGAATGTCACTCTTCAAATACCCGAGATATGGGCCATTTTGTACATCGACGCAAAGTTTTCCAACTTTCTTTAATTTTGCGGAATAACATTACAGTTTTCATAACTTTTTAATTATAAAATGGGCTTGCTTATAGCAGATTGTATTTCGAAAAAGCGATTCCTGCTCGGTCTAAATATACAAAAATATATAATATAACTGATCAAATACTAGAGTTATCGCCATTTTTGTTCAATGACACAAAGTTCTCAAATGCAGTTAAATTTTGAGCAAACGCATTCTAGTGGCCATAACTTTTAAGTTATGAGAGAGTTCTGAGAAAGATAATTATAAATTTGCAAAAGGAACTTCAGCTCTTTATAAATATAAATAGGTGTCAATATAACTGACCAAATACCCGAGTTATCGTCATTTTTTTTCAATGACGCATAGTTTTACAATTTAGTTACATTTTGAGCACACACATTCTAATGGCCATAACTTTTAAAATTCAAGGGTAATATGATAAAAAGAGACTTGGCTTTAAAAGAGGAATGTCTGGCCTTCACTAATTGATATAAATTTTCAGTATAACTGCTGAAATGCCAGAGATATAGCAAAAATTATATAAGGAACGCAAATGTTTATAATTTTGTTAATTTTTTTTTGCGTAGGCCTTCTAGTGTCTATAACTTTTAAAATACCAAAGAGACGTAATAGAAAAGTTTATGATTTTGAAAGTGGATCGTCTACCCTCTAAAAATAAATAAGAATTGTTAATGTAGTTTATCAAGTTACAGAGATATATGGGAATTTATAGGAAGACCGAGGTTTTCTAAAAATAGTTACATTTTATATCTTTGTTTTCTAGTGGCCATAACTTCGACATTACAAGAGGGGCATGATAAATATAGATTTGGATGTGAAAGAGCAACGCCTGGCCTTTACAAATATATCAGAATGCTTTATATAACTGACCAGATACCCGAGATATCGCTATTTTCGTTCAATAACACAAAGTTTTTAAATATGGTTAGATTTTGCGCACAGGCATTCTGGTGGCCATAACTTTTAAAATTCTCCAGGGATTTGATAAATACAGGTTGGTTTTTAAAAGACGAATGTCTGGTCTTCACTAATTTATATAAATTTTCAGTGTAACTGCTGAAATACCAGAGATATAGCAAAAATTATAGAAGTGCGCAAATGTTTAAAAATTTTCTAGTTTTTTGCGTAGGACTTCTAGTATCTATAACTTTTAAAATACCAAAGCCACGTAATGGAAGAGTTTAGGATTTTGAAAGTGGATCGTCTACCCTCTAAAAATATGTAAAAATTTTTAATATAACTTACAGAGATATAAGTATCAACTTACAGAGATATAAGTAAATTTACACGAAGACCGAAAATTTTTCAAAATAGTTTCATTTAATGTCTTTGTTTTCTAGTGGCCATTACTTCGAAACTACAGAAGGGAAATGATAAAAACAGATTTGGATTTGAAAGAGGAACGCGTGGCCTTCACAAGTATATCATAACTATCAGTATAACTGATAAAATACCCGAGTTATTGTCATTTTTATTCAATGACACAAATTTTTTAAATATGGTTAGGTTTTGCGCAAAGGCATTCTGGTGGCCATAACTTTTAAAATTCTCCAGGAATTTGATAAAAACAGGTTGGTCTTTAAAAGAGGAATGTCTGACCTTCTCTAATTTATGTAAATTTTAAGTGTAGCTGCTGAAATACTAGAGATATCGCACAAATTATATAAGAACGTAAATGTTTAAAATTTTGTTAATTTTTTTGCGTTGGCCTTCTTGTATCTATAACTTTTAAAATACCAAGTCCACTATTGGAAGAGTTTAGGATTTTGAAAGTGGATCGTCTACCCTCTAAAAATATGTAAAAATTTTTAATATAACTTATCAACTTACAGAGATATATGTAAATATACACTAAGACCTAAAATTTTAAAAATAGTTTCATTTTATTTCTTTGTTTTCTAGTGGCCATAACTTTTAAAATTCAAGGGAAATTTGATAAAAACAGATTAGGCTTTGAAGAAGCAATGTCTGGCTTTTACTAATTTATATAAATTTTCAGTGTTACTGCTGAAATACTAGAGATATCGCACAAATTATATAAGAACGCAAATATTTAAAATTTTGTTAATTTTTTTGCGTTGGCCTTCTTGTATCTATAACTTTTAAAATACCAAACGCACCTGATTGAAACGTTTATGATTTTGAAAGTGGATCGTCTACCCTCTAAAAATATGTAAAAATTTTTAATATAACTTATCAACTTACAGAGATATAAGTAAATTTATACGAAGACGGAAAATTTTTTAAAATCTATTATTTTCAAGGCATGGTTTTTCTAGTGGCCATAACGTTTAAATTGTTAAGAGAACCTTATAACTATGGGGTTCTATTTTGAAAGAGCAACGTCTCTTCTTTTGTAATATATAAGTATTTCTGATATATCTCGCAAAATATCAGAGATATGGCCAAATTTATAGAAATTGTCTTAAGATAGGTTTCTTTACATCCCAAAGTATCAACACCGAAAGCTTAAATGCCATGCCTCAATTTTCAATATTTTTTTTTTTTTTTTTCACTTTTAAAAAATAAGCTCCCCCAACTTTATTTCTTCTTCAACCTTTTGCCTTAAAGTTGTTGCAACAACAACAACAAAAACCGCAATATTTTGCAAATATTGGTATATGAAT